TATTTTTGTTCAGCATGAGAATGAAATATCATTTTCATATAAAAGACTGAGCACTTAACCTCGTTTTGATACAGAGGCCAGGGGAACTCGGAAATGGGCATTAAAAGCCATTTTCATATCAATGGCTTCGCACTCAACCTTGCTTTTGAAGAGAGGCTTGGGTAACTCAAAAATGGCCTATTAACTCTAACAATGGTCCTGCCTTGGGCATGGACACGGATAAGAAAAGAACTTTGTACTGGTAATGGAGCAATTCGTGACTCTTCTAGCCGAAACTCTATTATCTACATATCCAAATAAAAAATGTTTTTGTTCCAACCTCCTAGTATTCTTACAAACAAAAATTTCCCCTGAATCTTGATTTTACGCTGACTCTCAGTCAAATGGTAAAACAAAACGTTTCAATCCGCTAGGTACATCGGTCCGTTAAGCCATTTCACTTTGAACTACCCTAGATGCTTAACAAGCAGTTTTGTTGATTCCAGGCCCTGTTCACGGCCGAAAGCGCAAATTAACAAGACTTCTTTCTCTCTGGTCTGCGGCTTCGAAGAAGGAAAGGCGGACTAGCAAATGACCTGCTACCCTCTCCATCAATGAACAGCACTGTAACAATTAAACGGAATCGGTTTCGCCTGTCTGCGTCAACAGTAGAGAGCTTATAAACAGGAGTTCCTTGAGAAGACATGTAAACTGAGTCCAGATCCACTGACAAGAATTGCTAACAACAGAAACAGGATAAGCCGTCAGTTAGAAATGAATTTAGGTAGCAACTGCCATACTTGGAGCTAAGAGTAATAGTACCTGGAGCCATAGACAGCAACAATCCTTCGGTAGAGGGTGATAAGACTTTTCCGCTCTTTGCGTAGAAACATACAGTGGATTTGTTTACTTACTTTCACCGTAATTTTTAGGGAGTTATTATAACTCCAAAAATGGAGTAAAATTTTAGGCACAGGATAACCCCTTTTGGGGGTTACTTTAACTCCTTATGTAACTCCAGATCTGGGGTCATCTTTACTCCTGAAAAAGAGTTCTTTCTACTCCTAGTCTGGAGTTAAAATAACTCCGACAATGGGGTTATTTTCACTCCTTACATAGGTTCTTTTTACTCTTTTTGGAGTTAATTTAACTCTGAGAGTGAAGTAAAAAAAATTTAGGTACAGGATAACTCCTTTTTGGTGGTTATTTTAAATCCTCAATATCTGGGGTCATTTTTACTCCTGAAAAAGAGTTCTTTAAACTTATTTTTGGAGTTAAAATAACTCCCCCAAAAATAACTCCACTGTAAGGAGTTAAATTAACCCCACTAGAGGAGTTATTATAACTCCTTAAAAATTACTGTGAATTCGCTTTCTAGGGTAAGGTAGGAAGGATTAACGTATGGGAACGGAAGCCCACAAATGCGGCGCAAATTGCTTTTGCTTTTCGCGCCATGTATAAACGTAATCTGGATTCCAGAATCGTGGAAATCAGTTTTGCTTCTAGAATCCAGATTTTGGGCTTTGGAATCTGGAATACATCTCAAGGAATCCGGAATTTGACAAACGGTCAGAATCCGGTCTCCATATTCCACGGTGTGGAATTCAGATTCCAAGACTTTCTTGAATTCCTTTTCATGGGGCGATGCTTTTGCAATAGAAAGACTATATAGAGGATGGAGTGATCGAGAGATGAACAGCCCCTATCCTAGCCTTCCTCCCCCATGATAATGATCATGATAAATTTCCTAATTTTGCGTTTTCCGATCACTAGCCTTTTGCGCACCTTGTTGATCATCTGTGCTCCCAGTTTGACATTCAGTGGAACTCTGCCTGTGACATCACCACTTAAAGCAGCAGCCATTGGAATACGCTCCACGCATACCCCAATGTGTTCAATCTGAGCTTCGGTTTTGATCATGATGCGAACTTTGCCGTCTGCCAACCGTTGCCGTGACTGGCGATTTACACGACTCTGTACCTTTTCATACTCCTGGTAAAAAAAGAAAAAAAGCGAAAAGAACTTTAAGAGTACAGTTGTCCTTTACATATAAGTCAGTAAGTCCACAGCATCCTAACCCCGCCCAATCACACGCCCCAACAAGGCCTCCTTTGAGTAAGAAAAGATGGTCCCTTACAGCCATGCCCGATTTTGATTTACTTACAGTGGCTAATGCAGAATGAAAGGGAGTAAAAGGACATGAGGGTATGCAATCTTTTAGCCTGAGAAAACAGCCGACATTTGGGGACGCGACCACTGGTTTCCCCGCCAAATGACATCTGAGAAAGGAGCGCAGAAATTCCATACTGATGAAGCGTCACTACCCAGATCTGGGTAGCGCCTCTGATTGGTTGAATCAAATTTCCCACGCGGACGACCAATCAGAAGCACTACCCAGATCTAAGTAGTGACGCATCATCAGTATGGAATTTCTGCGCTTGTTTCTCAGACGTCATTTGGCGGGGAAACCAGTGGCAGCGTTGCCAAATGTCGGCTGTTTTCTCAAGCTAGCAATCTTTTACCGGATCGAAATTACGGTGTGGTCGAGACCGTAGACTGTTTCGGCTGATGAGAGGATTATCCATGCCCCCAAATGGCATTTTTACCGCAGTTTTCTTCTCGTGAATAATAGATTTGACGGTGCCCTCCTCCCTATTTCTTTTCACTAGTCTCTGCATGTTCACGCGTGGCTGATTCATTGTCTCTTCCATCTTTTCTTTCCGGCACCTTTACTCAATCTGTCGAGTCACTGGCATATCGAATGCAACTATTTGTATATCGTGCCCGTATTAACGTATGTGCTAGTCTGATGTCAGTAATTGCGATGAAACCGATTCTCCGAAGTTTCGTACCAAGAGAAGTAGTCGATGAAGGAAGCGGTTTTTTTTTTTTTATGGGTCGCAGCCTTTTGAATCAAGCCGCCGTCGATATCGTTGACAAGCTAACCTCGGCTAGAGCGCATGCAAAATTTTGGGAGTTTCCCTGATTCAGATAACGACACATCCCCTATCGATACAAGACGCACAACGGCTTATGGCAACCGTTCCCAGGGTAACTCCCTGGGGAAGAGGCTGCCTGCTAAACAGAACCCCACCGCCTCCCTCAAAAAAGTTAACTTCTGTTCAGGTCTTAACGCCCAACCCATCCATCCCCTTCTTATTCCGGTTATTTCAGATTTCTTTTCGGGGAAGTATTTATTGCTACTTTTTAAAACACTCTTACCTTTTTTAAACCTAGAAAATGAACTTTGACCTTGGGTTCTGTGGTAGCAGCGTACGTTCTGGGGTATTTCTCCGTTTCAGGAGCCCATGTTGGCATTGCGCATGCTCCAAGCTCCTTCTTAAGCATTGGCCGATCCCAATCTCTTTCCCAGTCCAGCTCATGCTGATCATCTCTTTCCCAGTCCAGCTCATGCTGATCAAGGTTTTCAATTTTAGGCTTTTTCAATACAGCTATAAAACCCTTTGAATCCCTAAATTGATCAGATTCTGCAAAACAAAGCCGGGGTGAAAACTGTTCAGTGGGTACATTCACTGCGAATCCAAAATGCCCCCTTCAATTCTCCTGCTGGTTCCATGTGTTATGTGTTAAATTTTAGTAGGTTCTCTGAAGCTTGAATCGAGCTTGAAGCTAAAGAAAGGGCGAGAGGGCGTGGATGGTGGGAGTCGAAATACATTTGCCAAATATGGCTAGTTCGCAAATAATCAAGCCATCGGCTTTTAAAAGTCGTTCAAGAGCCCCAGGTAACAACTGTTCAGCAAGGTTTGGGGGGGGGGGGGGGGGGGAAAAAATGAAAATTAGCGGATTTTAAAGGGGGTCAACGGGTGGGGGGGGGGGGAATCCCGGTTATGGGACCCCGCCCCAACGGGGCCTCTTCCTTGCCCCGGTTTTTTATAAACAAAAGCAGGGGGTGGGGAAGGGGGTTGGGAAGGGGGGGGGGGGGGGGGGGGTCAAATATGACAATTGACTGATTTCAAGAGTCGTCATCGGTGTGGGCTGGGTGCATACCTGTCTATGGATCACGTCCGCAACGGGTCTCTTACTTGGCTCAGCTTTTTAATAAGCAAAAGAGGTGCATGTGGAAGGTGATTGGAACGGGGAGACTCTTCCTCCCTGCCATCATCCTCCGCCTTACATTGGAGGGGCGGAAGGCGGCTAAGGACGAGTAGAGGATGTTATATCAAGCCATTCCGAAACTTGACGCAAGCCTTTTACTCAATAGCAAGCGGTGACAGCCTTTACTGAGTACATGCAATTCACAACTGACAGATGTTCCTGTTTACTGCATGGTTTCAGATAACTCAGTTGTAACGGAAAGTACTCAATACCACTAAGAACTGGGAGACTATTGATGATGGGTCGATATCCCATCCTCTTTAGAATATGGAAGGTCGGAACGGACAAAGCGGAGGATATACAATTTTTGACCGGTCAAAGGTGACAAATGTACAAATATAATCCGATAAAAACCCGAATATTTTCTAAAAGTATCGAAGAGAGTTTGCGGAAAGAAACTAGTCACCGAGAATAAGTGGATTTCTTTTCAGCTTGAGCTCTTTAAGCCAAAGAAGATCTAATTTCAATCAATTACCAAAGTTTTACGGTTTCTTGAAAAAGCTATCCAACTTCAAGTTAGCTTAACTCCAAATACCGAATTAAAAAGCATTTTTCATTGTTTTAATTTACCTGGTTGTATAAACTCGTCTTGAGGAAAATCTTGCAAAAGGAGATACTTTAACCAAGAATCATAAGGAATCTCCTCTTCCCCCTCCACATGTTCTCTTGTTGTGACGAAGAAAGTGTTCCGAGACATTTAGTTTGTGAAGTTGTTTCCGAGCAGCAAAAACAGCTGATGTAAACTCTGTGAAGGTCTGCTGAATAATACCGGATAACACTTCATTGTGAGACTAATATACCAACTTTAACTTTATTTGGACACGGAAGGACACTCTGATTGGCTAATGAACTTTTCAAAAGTACGTGCTCTTTAAGGCACTTTTTTTTTAATCATGTGTCAGCTTTTCCACTCAACAACGCCACTACTGGAGACTTGTCAATAAATGTCTGATATTCCATTCCGCTAAAGGAAGAAAATATCTTTTTTCCTTAGAAACCAAAAATGTATTATGTTGATCTACCTGTAAGGTAGGTTAGCTCATATATTTCTTTTAAAAAGTTTTGAATGACTTGTCAAATTAATTTAATGTGATCGCATCTAAATTCAAAGATTTTCAATAGCTTTCAATTGAGGTTAATTCCAAGCCTTGCCCTGAATTTCAACTCTTTTATTTGTCTACATGTGCAGAGACAGAATTTCATTACAGCCCACGTTGCGGTTGTCATGTGTTTATGGTCTTCCACAACAGAGTTGATATTTTCCTTAATGTCTTTCTCTAATTAATTCCTGAACAGAGCTGAAAAATTAAATAAAAGTCTACATAGAGTGATCAGCAAGAAATCTGAACCACGATGCTGTTTTAATATGCCAGTCTATTTTTATCTGCCCGACATCTAGGAGCGGAAAGCACCAATTTTCTCGCTCTATATTTTGAACTCATGACAGGTGTCGTTAATTGAACCAACGTGTCGAATGAACTTTTGTTACAAAACTATTGTGTTTACTTGCTTCTCTATCCTTTTAAAAAAAAGTAGACGCAAAAGCAAGGCCATTAGCAAGCAGCCAGTCATCTAGAACGGAAGTAGTAACGTTACGCGGTCTTTTGTCCCGAGTGGTGACAACTAAACGGTTGCTATCGCCGTGTGTTTCAACACATGGGTTATTGCTATTTTTTGTCCGAAAAACTAAAACAGTTTTAATATCAAAAGCTGGTGATTTATTTTATTTTTCGTGTTGAGCTTCCTGTTTTTCTCGTGGTTGGGTTAAGTTACCGCCGATAAAGGCTCAGATGGGAGTATGATCTCACTCTTTGGTGAATTTCACGGGTCATGTGCACTGTAGCGAAGAAAAAGACTAACCCGTGGTCATCAAGATGACCAAAGATAATAACTCAAAAATAAAGTTGTAAAATTTGGGAAAGAAGGACAAGATTTCTGTAATTTTTCTCTTTCAAATAACGGAGGGAAAGGTCTGGAGGGTCTCGAGTCACGTTTGATTATTTTAAAGCCAAGCTCACCAAAGCTTGACTCAATCACGTTACTTTGTACTTTAAAAACTAGCATTCTGACGATATTTTGTTTATTTCCGTTAGTTAAGGGCTGTAGATTTCAAGCTGTACTAGGCAAATCTTTAGCTACAATGTATAGCAAAATCACGGCCACAGCGGAGAGTGCAGGAGCCCAATCAATTCCTACTTAGACAGTCACGATTATCTTCCTTATTTTGCTCAGTCACCGGTTTGCTTTCCTTTTACTTCCGTGTATCATGTGTATTTCGATGGTTCGAGTCCTTGATATCTAAGTTAATACAATGACCGGTTGTTGGCTTAAAAGCCTACCTTGTCCCTTCTTGTCTGCTTTTTAATTTATTTAATGCACTTTTACTTAAAGACACTGGGTGTCTGGGCTGGTACCAGGTGCCCTATCAATATTAAACCGGCTTCAGTATAAAATGCTAAATTGAGATAATGCATTTAAAAAAGACTTCTAACATTGAGTTTCGGTGAGTCATTTTGCCGCAAAAATAATAATAAAAAAATATGTTAAGCGATTTTCAGTCTTGAAATCCAAGTGACGGGGCAGGCAGCTACGTGGCAAGCAACGCGGAAAAGAACAACATAAATCTGAGTACGTGACCTAGCAAAAACCGACAAACTCCGAAAATGTCCCTTATAAATTCTTCCGCCCTGGTGATAAACAGTGGGACACAATTATTGTAGTCATCGGGGCCGTGGGGCCGGTATGCCTTCTACCTTAACTCAAACGTACAAAATCAAAAGAAAGTTTCGAACTTTGTGAATGGATCAAAAACTTTTCTCCACTGATTTGCAGTTAGTGTACGTGAATTAAAGGCGTTTGCAGTCCTCATTCCATTGACCTCTTTATAGAGGGCACATTTTGACTTTATTTGCCTACCTAATGAATCTTGTCCTGTTGGAAAACAGCAAATACGATTAAGATCATTTTTTGAATGACTGAGTCATGACAACCGTCAAAAATTTCAGCTCTGCAGTGATTACGTGTCCCGTAATCTGTTTTAATGTAGAATAACGTTAATAAAGTTTGGATTATTGAGTCACTGAATCTTTAACTATTGATTCACTAATACCCGTGTCTATAAAACATTAGTCACACTCATCAAATGTGCCCGATAAACTGTATATAGCGCTAGCGCCGGCCTCATCAATTATTACTTTATATTCACTCAGGAACACAAGAATCAGGTCTGTGCAATATTTCATATGCGAGATATTCGGGAAAAGTTTTACCAAAATTTATAAAGCTTTGTAGTGACACCATGTTTGTGTCCCTTACAAGGGTACAAATATGGCCGCCGGAAACCAACAGAAACATCTGTTTTGGAGTTTTCCTGCTAATGCGTGAATTCTTCGCTTGAGGAACTCATTAAGATTAAAGTAATATTTATTCTCAGACAAGGAATGTTTAGATAGCAAAATTTCCCAAAATCGGTAATGTTTTTAACCCACATAAGAGCTTCCCTGGCCGTCAGCTAAATGCCGCGTCACGCAAAAGCCTGGAAATTCAAGCGTCCAGTGTCGCAAAACGAAGAACCCTTTTGAACCCCGGGGTGAAACCCAAGAATACCGAAAAGCTCTTGTGCGGGCACGACAACCATGCCGCATAGGGCTTCTGTTCTCACATAACAGCTTGAACGTTTATTTGGGTGCGATTTCTGTAACGAAGCGAAACTGTGCCGCCCCGATCTCTAAAGTGGAGCATCATGCGATCACTTATCGGGTAGGTTCTGTACCTCACTTTGGTGCAGTGTGAACAGGGATATTCGGACCGTAGCGGAAGTGAGCAAAGAATGGAATCCACTGAGACGGAAGGAAATACTCCGGAGTGAGGACTGGGATTTAGTTCACCAAGCCCTCTCGGCCAATCGCTCAGTCCGTCACGATCGTCGATGCGCGTAAACGACTTGTTCCATTACTGTGCTGTTGCTGTAAATCATACTATACCAGACAGATTTTCGTGTCGATACAAAATACGATATAGTGTGTGCATAGCCTAAGGTCTGGTTCATCGCCAAATCGGCGTGCGCTGCCTCCCGGGTAGTTTCACGAAACTCGCGCTATTAAAAAAACGGCTTCGGGCTCGAATATAGTGAAGTATGCTAGGCATATTTATAGGTTTAACTGTAATTTACTAAAGCATATATTATTATGATTGGCAATGTCGCTCTAGAAACGGGCGTTACGCTAGATTTGGTTACTCTTAATTAACATACATTCCAGGTTCAAATGTATATCCAGACAGTTTTCTAAGTAAAATTCTTACTACCCAGTGGACCAAACATCATGAGTGGTCAGGTTGAAACTCTGGGCGCTTTAATTCCATTTAGTCAAAATTTTCGGAAATTTCGGTTTGGTAGAAAATGGAAC